TGTATCTCGAATTTGAGAGCTTTATACGACACTTTTATCGCCGTTGCGATTTATTTTTTATTTTTAATACAATCTTTTTTTACGATTGCACGGAAAAGAGATGTAGTTCCATAAAGATATGCGGAAATTATATGTACATCTGACGTGATTCCGTTACGACATTTATTCCATTACAGATGGAAATACGAAGTTACGTTGTTGACAATTTTTTTTTTTTTTTTTTGTAAAGCGGTACGAACAGATGTTCCGGAACTCTGTGTTAGCTTTATTGGATTAACCCCTCGCAGCCGCGTTCTTGGATAGTGGCCAGCTGGCAAATTTCGATCCTAATGTTTTCATTCGATTGTCTCATATTAATCGCATTATATATACCGCAAAATTTGAAATTTACGCGTTTCCGCAATTAAAAAAAAATCTCTCGCGAATTCTAGGCACTGCAGTCCAGTAAGCAATAATCTAATCGTATTCTTTCCTCGCGTTCATATAGTGATCAGCGCCCAGGGATTAATCGCCAAAGATAAGAGCGGCACATCCGATCCCTACGTGACGGTCCAAGTTGGCAAAGTGAAGAAACGTACGAGGACCATGCCGCGAGAGTTGAATCCAGTATGGCACGAGAAGTTCTACTTGTAAGTAATTTTAACAAGTTTCTCTGCTACGCTCGCGGAATGCGTAATGTTCTTCAATCTTACTGTGAATTCTCCTGTAAATTTTCGCGTGACGTCGATTGTCACATTTCCTTTGTACGTACATCATTATATATGTATATCTACATTGTTTACTGGAATTTAGTTGCTGAAAGCAAAAGACCTTAAAGACAAGACCGCTAGTCGTATATATGACGACATTTTCATTGGTAAATTAAATATCTGAAAAAAAAATTTCTTTCACTTTCAAAGAGATACAAATTAAAGAACACAAGGTAAAGCGAGCCAGGATTATATCAGCGTTATAAAAACTACAAATCGCTGTTCGCAGCGAGTGCCACAATTCGTCTGATCGGATCAAGGTCCGAGTGTGGGACGAAGACAACGATCTGAAGTCGAAGCTGAGGCAAAAGTTGACGAGGGAGAGCGACGATTTCCTTGGGCAGACCATCATCGAGGTTCGGACACTCAGCGGCGAGATGGACGTTTGGTACAATCTGGAGAAAAGGACGGACAAAAGCGCGGTGTCGGGCGCGATTCGACTGCACATCAGCGTCGAGATCAAGGGCGAGGAGAAGGTGGCACCTTATCACGTGCAATACACCTGTCTGCACGAGAATCTCTTCCACAGTCTGTGCGAGGAGAACGGCGGCATGGTAACTCTGCCACAGGCGAAGGGCGACGATGCCTGGAAGGTCTACTTCGATCCTCCCGGCGAGGAGCTCGTTGACGAGTTTGCCATGCGCTACGGCATCGAGAGTATCTACCAGGCGATGACGTGAGTGCCGTTAAAAATTCATTCGCTCCGATAATTAATATTTTCATATACATCAAGGATTTTGTTATCAGCTCGGAATATTTTTTCAATCGAAAAATTTGAATATCGAGTACACAAACAATTTTTATTCTCGTTATTAAAGTTGAGATTAAAAATAGAAGCGAAAGAATCGCAATAATAATTAGAATTCAAATTACACATTATACAATTTACTTGAGATTAAAATAGGCAGTGATTTTCAATTATTGGTTCGCGCGCGCGCGAAACTAAAATACAAGATTTTGAATATTTCTAATCTATCACTATTGCAATAGTACAATAAAACAATACATTACAGCGACATTAAGAATACATTAAATTTTCTTGTATAACAATTTTTCCGATACAGGCATCTTTTTTAACCTTCTCTTGGAGAGGTAATCTTTTAATGTTATATTAAATAATTATTTAATTTAATTGAAATTAAAATACAGGCAATAATTGCTCTAAGGTAATTATCGTAGCTTCGATCGAGGGATCGATTTTTCAATTCGATCCTGCTTCCATTTCGTGAACCGATCTCGTATTTTCCAGGCACTTCCACTGCCTCTCAACCAAGTACCTGTGTCCAGGCGTGCCGGCCGTTATGTCGACTCTCCTGGCAAACATAAACGCGTACTACGCCCACACGACCGCTAGTCCGGCCGTGTCGGCCAGTGATAGATTCGCCGCCAGTAACTTCGGGGTGAGTGCCGGATGTTGAAGGTTGCGCCGTAGCGCGTGGTAGATCGAGTATGGTAGGTAGAAAAGTGAGGGATGGCGACTGCTCGGGCTGCAAGTAGCGAGAAATGCTCTTGCAATTTCCTGTCAACCAGCGCTATCCGTTATCCCGAGTTGCTTCTCGTATCCTAGATGGTCGCGCGTTTTCTTGGGCAAGGACACGAATATCTCTTTCCACCTCTATCAATTACGTTCTCACCGGGTCAGGAGTGAGGAATCAGCTGACGTGAATATTCAAATAATTAGTTTGCGAACTTTCCAAAAGGGATTAAGCGACATATACCCGTCGAACCGCTTCGAATAAAATTTGAATCTCTTGACAAAATTGGGCATTTAGCCGATTAGGATAGATTCCTCTTCCAAAAGAATTAGTAATTCGATTTTTGTTATAAACTGTAAGAATAATAAAATCCAAGCGAACAACAAAATCTAAATATTTTCATAGAATTTAAGAAATCTTCACGTTATAAATCCGTAACCGGATTGAAGCTTCAAGATTGTGGCGTGTTTATGATTGCATTTTCTGTTTTATTGCTCTCTTTCTCTCTACTAATTTTTTCTTAGGGAAAAATTACGAAAAAAGACCATATACACGTTAATTAATTAAGATTTCAATTAAGATTTTTTTTGACCGCATTCTGTTTTTTCCATGTGGATTTTATTGATTGTGAGTAACAGTCAAGACTGGCCAAATAAATTTTTCTAGTGTGCAGAGAATATGGAAATTTCTTTCGCAGACTATCTCTATATATGTATATATACCTATAAATCAACATTTTTTTGGTCTTTGTAAAACAGCGAACGATATGTGAACCAAAATTTCGCACGAAATTTAAATTCGAGTATCTCTTAATCCCGGAAGTGCACGAGTGTTTTTTATGTTCCTGAATTATGCATGATATTCTCCCTTTCGAAAATATTACGGTGGAATTTTTCACGTCCGAAGAAATTCGCCACGGCTGAAAATATTCGGACACTGAGATAACTGAAACTCGACGAGAGAGCTTCTTAACGAAATACGTATATGTACTCTGCATTAATAAAGAGCTGTCGGGATAAAATGTAAAAAAAAGAAGTCAACGTCGACGTATTTGCCCGAGGAAAAGAAAAGTTATTGCCACTATATTACACTAATTAAAGAAGCGCCTATAAAAGGATTCTCTTCTTCGTTGTAGAAAGAGAAATTCGTCAAGCTACTGGACCAGCTGCACAACTCTCTCAGGATCGACCTATCAATGTATAGGAACAACTTCCCGGCCTCAAGCCAAGAAAAATTAATGGATTTAAAGAGCACCGTGGATCTGCTGACGAGTATCACGTTCTTCCGTATGAAAGTCCAGGAACTGTCGAGTCCGCCGCGGGCCAGCACCGTTGTCAAGGACTGCGTGAAGGCGTGCCTGCGATCGACCTATCAGTTCCTCTTCGAGAACTGTTACGACCTGTACAATCGGGAGTTCCAGGCGGACCCGAACGAGGCGAAGAGGGACTCGGACGATCACGGGCCGCGGCTGGACTCGCTCGACTTCTGGCACAAGCTGATCGCTTTAATAGTCTCAGTGATCGAGGAGGACAAGAACAGCTATGCGCCCGTGTTGAATCAATTCCCTCAGGAGCTCAACATCGGTCAACTGTCGGCGGCCACAATGTGGTCACTGTTTGCGGTGGACATGAAGTACGCTCTGGAGGAGCACGAGCAGCATAGACTGTGCAAGTCCTCGGCCTATATGAATCTACACTTCAAGGTCAAGTGGCTGCATGCCAATTACGTCAAGGACGTGCCGCCATACAAGGGCGCCGTGCCGGAATACCCGGCCTGGTTCGAGCCCTTCGTCATGCAATGGCTTAACGAGAACGACGATGTCTCGTTAGAATATCTCCACGGTGCCTTTAGTAGAGATAAAAAGGAAGGCGTAAGTGATATATTCGCACTAATCTCGATACATTGTCCCCATAGAAACGTTCTTTAATTGGTTCTCCAATACAGTTCCAAAAGAGCAGCGAGCACGTGCTCTTCAGCGTCTCCGTCGTCGACGTCTTCACGCAACTGACGCAGTGCTTCGATGTAGTATCGAAACTCGAGTGTCCAGATCCGGAGATCTGGAAGAGGTACATGAAGAGATTCGCGAAGACCATCGTCAAGGTTCTGGTGGCCTACGCGGATATAGTGAAAAAAGAATTCCCCAGCCATCTGAAGGAGGAACGAATCGTACGTTCCCAAGAGTGATACAATCTGTAGAAATTTACGCAACGCGGATCGATTTAACTATAAATCGACTTTATTCCGCAGGCATGCATTCTGATGAACAACATTCAGCAACTCCGGGTGCAGTTGGAGAAGATGTTCGAGTCAATGGGCGGCGACAAGCTCGAGGAAGACGCGGCGAACATATTGAAGGAGTTACAACAACAGCTGAACGGCGCGCTGGACGATCTGGCCATGCTCTTTGCGATCAGTTTGGAGCCGCGAATAACAGCTTCTGTCAGGGAGTTGGGAGATCTTTTGTTAGCTATCAAAGGCGGAGGGCAGGTAACTTTGTCACAGCCGGCTCAAAGAAACAACGTAACTGCAGAGGCTGACGAAGTTTTGAGGCCGCTCATGGTTCTACTCGACGGCAGTCTATCTCTGTACGCCGAGTCGTGCGAGAAGACGGTATTAAAGAGACTGTTGAAAGAACTATGGAAGATAGTCATGAGGATTTTAGAGAAGACCGTCGTTTTGCCACCTATGATGGATAAGAGTGTACGTTGATTGCGTTATGATTAAGTTTTAAACTTTTATATTATAATTATAATTAAATCAAATATTATTACAGATATAGAATATTAATTACGGATCATAAAGTGTTTTTACGGTTTATAATTCTTGTCTCTTGCAGATGATGTTTAAGAACTTGACAGATAATGCCAAAAATCTCGCTGCAAACGCTAAGATAGAAGATATGTCGAAGCTGTTTAAGAATCACATGGCCGGGAAACCCGATGTGAAAAATGCTCTTAGCGGAGTTATGGTAATAAAAATAAATGATTTAAATTACATATATATCTACATTAAATTTATGGGAAAAGTTGCTTTGCGATTATTGTTAACCATCCTTGTCTCTCCAGGATATCTCCAAGGAAGTGGAGAAGAATCTTTCGCCGAAGCAATGCGCGGTTCTCGACGTCGCTCTGGACACGATTAAACAGTATTTCCACGCCGGTGGTAACGGCTTGAAGAAGACATTCTTGGAGAAATCGCCGGAACTGCAGAGCCTCCGTTACGCGCTGAGTTTATATACACAAACAACGGACACCCTCATCAAAACCTTCGTTACTTCGCAAATCAATCAAGGTACATCACTCCGAGTTTATAGTTTGCATAAGAAATTTATAAGCCGTAATAATACGATTATTATTTTTATATGTGTTTCTTCCTATATTGTGAACGCAATCGCGCTAAGAAATAATCAGGAACACTCACGAAACAGTCAGACAACACAAACGATATATTCTAATGACATATTACATTACACGATCCGTCGCGCGATCAACGCGTAAAGAATCGATATATATCGGCGTTTCTACACTCACATTACGACGTAATGAAAATTGTCGGGAACAGTGCCGCTCAACAATGCGTCAACGCTACGTCAGCGTCAGCGTTCGATGAGCAGCGAGAGAGCTGACGAAGGGGAAGGAGCCGAGGGTATGGAAAGCCTCGAGGAACCCCTTCGGCAGAGCAAGCCCTCTCTTCGTCGAGAGAGCCGACAAGGTACCAACAGAGCAGACCTTAGTAGGTCGCGGAAAGTGTCGGAAAAAGATTTTTAGGACGTAGTAAATTGATCGTTACGTCGAGACGTCTTTCGAGATGTGATTTATGTCCTTCGATATCAACACTTTTATCTACTCATCTTTAAAATATCCATTTACCGGAATAACCATTAACCGCGAATAAAAATAATTTTTTGATAGTATTTCGCAACGTCTGATTGTGAATTGAAAATTTTACATTTATACCAATTTTATTCGTTAGCTCAAAAAAGAAAAATATTCCAAAGACGTCTTGATGTCTCGATGGTTGTGTTAGGAAGCTGTGCTGTTATCACTGCCGCTGCTGCTACTGCCGCCACTCTTGCTGCTACTACTACTACTACTACTACTGAGAACTTTTGCGATCCACAAAATGTCTCTCTTTCGATCTTATGTTTTTTTCAACACATATGTGAAGAAAAATCTGCCATATGACCACTTGATCACTGTACACTGATTTTCTTACGAGCGTCATTGCCTATTGCCACATATCACTTTATTTTTACAATGAGGATTCGAAGGAACGAATACTCTCCCGAAGAAAGGATCGATCGCTCACATCATGGACACTTGTATCATCCCGAATCGAAATTTTACCCCTATTTTCAATTTCAATTTTCTCACATTTATGGGGATTTCGATAGGTTTAATTTATATAGGAATTGAATTTTTCTACTTTATATCTTTAAAAAGCAATAAACTAACAGTTTTTCATTTAAAGATTTAAAAGAGAAAAAACTTCTGACAAAACTATAAATTAAATTGTTTTAAAAAAATGTGACCATGCTGCTTAAATGTTAAATCGAAAATTGAGATCGAAAGTAGAAAAAAAATTTCGACTCGGGATACGCACTAAATCTTTCGAGCTGGAATTCTCCAAACACTAAAAATGATTTGTTTTCGATGCAGAATCGATGAAATCATTTAAAAGTTTATCACATACCGTGTGATTGACGCACGAAAACTTCGCGCAGGCTGACTTCGTCTTCTCTGATAATTACGCTGACGAGAATCAACAAGTACCCGAGCTGCTTATTATCAGAGCATGTAATCTGCTCTAGAAATAGCAAATCGAGATTAGACTCTTAGCCTTAGTTTCATCAAACCGTAGCATCAGATAGAATCAGACGAAGTCCGCGTAGTATCTAGATGCATATTCTAGCTTAACGGCATCGTACTTGAACTTAAATTCTGACTGCGATTTTTTTAAGTTCCAGATACCGCCGGTTCGGACGAGGGTTCGGTGGGCGAGGTGAGCATCCAGGTAGATCTTTTCACACATCCGGGAACGGGAGAACAGAAAGTCACCGTCAAAGGTACGCTTACGGTCCCGCAAAATTTGTAAAAGCAATTCTATATGCATTTGACAATCGATAATGCAAATTGATAATTTATTTTTTAATTTATCGACGATATAACTAAAATAAAATTTGTTGTATTTTTAGTTGTTGCCGCGAACGATTTGAAGTGGCAATTGGCGACAGGTATGTTCAGACCGTACGTTGAGGTGAATCTGATCGGCCCGCATCTCACTGGCAAAAAGAGGAAACAGTCGACAAAATCGAAGAGCAATAACTGGTCACCGCAATTCAACGAAAGCTTCGACTTGTAAGTGACGCAGCATTCAATTTTTAGACGGTTATTAAAATTTTTGTTAACCAAATTCCATTTTGACACTTGTCTCGCCTTTGTTCTTAGCATGATCGGTAACGAGCAGCAACAGCTGGACTTTTACGAGCTGCATATTTGCGTGAAAGATTATTGCTTCGCGAGGGAGGATAGACTCGTCGGCGTCGCGGTGATGCAGCTCAAAGATATCGTCGAGGAGGGTTCGTGCGCGTGCTGGCTGTCGCTCGGCAAGCGCATCCAGATGGACGAGACCGGCTGGACGATCCTGCGCATTCTCTCGCAGCGCAACAACGACGAGATCGCCAAAGAGTTCGTGAAACTCAAGAGCGATATCAGGCAGGAGACACCGCTGCCGAATCCTACCTGAGGAGATGCGACGCCGCGTTAATAAGCCGACTGCGAAGCGATTCGAGTACTTCGAGCTTGGAAAGAGCCCGAAGAGGAGGAGGAGAAGGAGGAGGAGGAGGAGGAGGAACAGGAGGCCGTCCAAAGGGGGTTAGCATATTCGATGCCTATGGTGCCACGAGCGAACGAAATCTTTCACGATTAATTTCGCGAGAGAAAGAGAGAGAGAGAAAGATGTAATTCGCGCAATTTACATGACGAAAACGATCGCCCGAACCCTTCCGCCCTTCTCCGCTGCGAGATACAACACCAGGGAGGAACGATCCTAGGCAGCAAGATGCGAATTTCCTCCCTCCGGTTTTCCTCGCATCGCAGAGCTCGGTCGAGTTTGATATTCCTCTCCCTTTTTTACGTCTTACACACACATATACACATACACACACATGCACGTATACATATATATATACAGAGCTTTAACCCCGTCCTTGGACAGCGACGAGATGAGCACCGGGAACCACCCTCCACAGATCCCGAGCTAGGACGACGAGCTAGGTCAACAATCCCGCGTGGCTCGGCGTTCGTCCGGCGTACAATAAGGAATAAAAGAAGAAGAGAATTTCTCTCACCCAGATTTACGAAAAATTAAAATAATCGAGAAAGAACGGAGCTCGACAGCGACGACGACGATGACGAGAGACACTTTAATACTATGTAAGACAGGAGACACATCGGACTCTCTCTTCTTCGTGCGAGTGAGCCGCGGATGAGACGCAGGGGAGAAAGGAGGGAAGGGAAGGAGACGAAGGAGAAGAAGAGTATTCGCGAGACGAGGAAACGCGAAACGTGAAAATAGTGCTGCCAGTATGCAATATATTTGGTAATATTCGTAACGCGTAAAATAGAAGACGAGAGAGATTAAAACACCGCGAAAGAGACTGAAATACGGTGTTTCGCGCAAAACGCGATGTTACTCTCTCGATCGGACGCGCCGCCGTTCGCCGAAAGACTGACCTCGAAATAGGAGAAGACGAAGAGGAGACGAATAGAGCGGATCCAGCGCGTGCAGGATCCCTGACCGCCACGCGGTCGTGCTAAAACGGATGCTAAACGGATATATGCAGAACGAGGAGGATCGCAAAATACGAAATTCATAATACACACACGTACATACACACATACACGCGCTCGCGATACGACCGCGTCGTTTCTAGGCCGTTTGTTCGGGAAGACGAGTTTACTGTAGATACGTGAAAACATTGTTGACGAAAAAAAAGGTTTTTCTAAATATACAGTTTAAATGTAGCATTGCGTACGACCAAATAGGCACGTCCTGTGACGTCACTCAGCGACGTGCCGTTAGTAATAAAAACAAAAAAAAGTTAGTAAGACATTGTAATTGTAAAGTAACGTTCTTATTCGTATAAGATTATACCAGAGATGGATCGTCTGACTGCTGCTGATGTTATTGCCGCTGTTGCGAATGATGATGTCGAGATTCGTCCGAAAGCTTCGAGAGTTACGTAAGCGCGAGACGATACCAGACCGAGCGAACGTAAGACGTACACGCGACGATCGATACATGCGTTAGATCGATATCACCGTTCACGTCTCCAACAATCGTTTCTGTGTAACGTAATAGAGAAGGTAAGAGTCCCGGATATACCCGGCGACTCGCGTTTCGAAAACGAATTCACCTTCTACGGACCGGCGAGCGTGCGAGCGCTAAAACTTTTAAACTTTACACCCTTGTAATTAGTACTGTCGATACTCGGGGATATTTCAGGGCTGTTATCCAAGTGACTGATTATTTCCGGTATTGCTCATGGGTAACAATGACTTGGATAAAACCTGACATCTCTCCGCGAGATCTATATTCGTGAATCTTGAATCGATGCTACTCGTAGTGCGCGCAAAGTAATCATACCGTAGCTCTTGATTCTGTCTCTAGCGATCGCTGCTTCTTACGCATCTCTCTCGAAATATCATGTATCGAGACTGGACGTTAAAACTGCTACTATTCCTATTACCGCTATTAGCTTCATCTTCTGTACGTCTTGTCTCGTACTATACTTGTACATAGCGAACGTTCGCCTGTTCGTAGGAATGCGTGTACGCACGATTTTCTATCGTCTCCGCCGATTTCTCTTATTGAGAAATTCATATCGGATCGACGGGACGAAGGGGCGTCCTCTCGAAAACGATCGCGGCCTTCTTCGCGATATTTGCGATCGTACGAAGCTTTGGTCGGATCCCTCCGTGAGAGAAACACAAATGCATGCGATCTCGTATCCGATGAATCCGATCATTGCCCAGCCCGTGCTGAGCCGGGCAGGTACAACACAACTCCGGAGAGATTACGCTATATTCAAAAGTTTCTACTACGTAGTACGTCTAGATTATACTTACGTATTGTGTATAGTGTCTAAACTGCTGATGTAGCTGCGAGCGCGGGATTTTCGATCGGCAAAGAAAGAAAGAATCGAGTACAACACTTAAAAGAATGAACGTCCGATCAACACCTACATACACACACATACATATACCTCAGCTGCAGATGCTTTCCGAATTTGAGTGTGTACGTCGAAACATCGCACCATGAATTGAAGGATCTTATGCAACAGTGATGTGACCTACCTCTTTGAGAACTTTCGTGAAAGAATTAATATTAAAGTTAAGAAAAATAAATTAATATTAATTAATTATAGATTAATCATTTGTATTTGTTAAGTTTAAATTTAAAAACGAATGGGAGATATAGATTCTATCGGGACATTGATATTTCAAAATATTCTCCGTCAATCATACAAGACATCTAGAATCATATTAGAATCTTGCTAGAACGTTTCAACTTCAATTTCATGATCGATTTGAAGAAAGCACCTGCATCTGCATCTGTCGCCGACGTTGTCGGAAATTCAAGCAGGAAAGAAAAACACGGGTCCGCGACCTCGCCACCATCTTCATTTGTAAAAGTGTCTATTTTCTCCGCTGCCTAACTAAGTACATTATTGAATACAGAAGGGCTGGCGAATTCGGCATCCAGATCGATCTCGTCGACGAACACGTCCGGATAATATCTCGTTCGCAATCAGATTGACCGAAAAAAAATCTCGATCGTAGATCCGTCGATACGATCGTCGACGGGATTGGTCGCTAATTTTTCCTCCTACTCTCCGCTTCGATTAATATATCTCTTGTAAGCTTAAATGAAAATATCTCGTGTATTCTGTGATAATTACCCCTTAAAGAGGACACTACAAACACGCTACACCGTACACGCACAAAAAAACATACACACGTACGAGGGAGACGAAGTCCGCATACGCGGAACAAGAAAATTGTACAGAAACTCTGGACAGACATAAACAAAGATAGATACGATTACGTCATTACACCGATCCCAAACATAGCAGCAGTATTCTTCTTCTTTAATTAAACACATTCCCATGTTTCTATTCTCTGTAATCATTAAACGTCCGAGGAATGTCGTCGGGATGGTAACGCAAGACGAAAAGAGATATATATGTATATACTACGTACGTATATAGAGTGTGTGATCCAGACTCGCCTCCACTTCCTTGCATCTACCGATCCTGTGACCAATTCGCAGTTGATTTCTCCTTAGCGAAAGTTTGATCCTTTTCCACGACTTTCTAATGTCAAATACATCTTAAGCCTCTCGAATAAAAATGCTGTGAAAGTAAAATTCACTTCGAATTGAATAAAATTTAAGGCTCCGCCGTTCATTGAAATTCTTAGACTTTTTATCGTCTTACAGTTCAAACGTTATCGCTACCTTGACGCTTTTTGTTAAGGAAAAATACACGAAATTGATCGGAGAGTTTGTAGATATGGGGTGCGCGGAACCTGAGACACCCTATACCGCGTTAACAAATTGCAACGATTTCATCAGCAAGGAGATACGGATATATAAAAAGATAACGGACGCAAAAGTATGCAGTGCATAACGACAGTAATGCTTTTAATCTCAACGAAATTCAATAACCGATAAAATATAACAGTGATGCAAAAAAAATAATTCAGGCGTTTCAAGAACTCGCTCTTACGAGCAAAGCTTTAGAAAAATGGCATGTATTATATATTTAACGGTTTTATAATTTAAATGGCATACATCATATTTAATAATTTATATCATATGAATAAAAAATTTAACATATTTTCTAACAGAATTTTTTACAGATTTTTCTTGCTCTGTTCTAAAATCTATTTTTCATAATTGTACATATATATCATTCTCGATTCTCCAAATTACAATGCGAGACACTCTAAATTTTATAAATAATATTTTCAGTGAGACTACACCTTGTCTCAAAAAATCCAAGACGAGTCATTGATGTCATGAGTGTGACAAAATATGTGCAAGTTGATCCATTATTGTCACTTTCCGTATATTCTTTCGAGCATGACAAAAAAGTTTAAAGAAGCTTCAATGGAGCGAGGTCAAATACTCCGATTATTTCTTTATTTGTGTTGAAGAGACGAGCTTCTAATTGCCGCAAACTTTTGCGTCCGATCGAATCGAGATGAATCAAGACCAGAACTTCAGGCCACAGATTCCAAAAAACGGTTGCAAGTGAGACGTTAATAGGGGGAGGAAGAGAGATCGCGTAACAAAAAAAAAGAACTATGGAGAGAAAAAAAAAGATATACACAACTGTTGACAATACTATACTTGAGAATCGTATGACACATATTTGTGTAATGTACCTAATAAATATTTAAAACAAGACGGGAGATGTTTGTGTTTCGTAAGTAAAAGCGTACTAAGAGTAAAATCGCGCGAGGAGACGATGCACTCGCGCGACGCATAACTTTTGCGCGGATTACCGCGTGATTTATTAGGTAATTACGTCTAATGAGCAAAAGGGAGGAGCAACTTTGTCGTCCCACGGAGAGCGCTGTTATTGTCGAGACAATTTTTCGAGGAAAGAAAAACGAAAAAAAGAAAGAAAAGGAGGAGAAAAAGGAGAGAGATTTCAAGGACATATCGCCGCTATGCAGGTCACGGGTTTAAAAGGTGATCCAAAGCAATTGCGTATCCGAGTATGAAACACGCACATTCGACACAAAGAATACCTATCTACTGTGAGAGAAGCGAATCTCTCTTCAGTAACACACATGTTTCGTTTGTTCACTCATTTACGAGTTGCTTTCCAGCAAACTGGATGCATACATATGTATATAATACCATACACGATACATGCAAAACATATGGATACACATACATATGGGCGGAATTGCACTTGTGTGACTCCATTCACACGATCGAAACTCCGAATGCACGTATCGTCACATTTTTCATCCCAAAAGCGAATCATCATCATTATCATTATCATCATCATTATCGCGGATGACGATAAACCGATAACGACGACATTGTTCCGATATTGTTAATCAATTTGCTTGATTTAAATCGTCGTATCGAACGATTGTGCGATTCAGACAAGCGCGTCGTCTTTCGAAATCCTGACAATCCTAGTGACATCAATGCATAGCAAGACACGATCACGGAGGACATCAACTTGCATAAATTGCATTGTTCAATTAAAGATAGAGATCCATATGCACAACTCGCCTCATGATAAGAATATATCGCATTCACTATACAGGGTGCAAAATTTCAAACATAACAGGCCGAATATTTTGATAATTAAATGAAGTACTGAGGTTTGTTTTTTTTAGATTGTATTGTTTCGAGGCGGACAAATTTTGATAAAAAGAATTTGACTTTGAATGGACGCAAAAAAACCGGGCCTCTCGGATATCTCCTTTAGTTACCAAAATATTCGGCCTGTTACATTTGAAATTTAACCTTGTATATATACATATATGTATATATACATACAGGATGGGCCCAAACGTTCCAGCCAAACTTTGAGATTTTATAGGAAATTTAATTTTGAACAGAAAGTTTCCTATAAACGTGAGTCGAAAAATGTTTCCTTAAAAAGTTAACGCTCAAAAATCTCTGAAATCACGGTTATTTTATACATTTTTACTAGAGTTGCAATATTAAGTAACTATTCGGTATTCTGCCTATTCGGCAATGTTTTTATTATTCGGCCGAACACCGAATAGTTTTAAATGTAAAACTGGAAGGAAGTAGTAGCTTAATAAACTGTTGCCACCTCAGCCGCAGATGCATAGTTTTAATATGCTCAAGTATCTAATTTATTTATTTAAATAAAATTAAATTAAATAAAACGCATTTATTGTTACATAATGTATTTATGCGAGGAAGGCGCGGTCGGGAGTGCCGCACACCCGTTTAGAGCCGTTGGCGCTAAAACCGTGCCTAATATTCGCCGAATATTCGGTTATTCGGCATATGACTTTGTCTAATATTCGATATTCGGTCGAATATATTATTCGTTGCATCTCTAATTTTTACAAATATCAGGGAAAGTATGCGTTTTTTAACAAAAAATACTGAAACAAAAATTGTAAAGAATTAAATTATCTTTCAAATGAGATCAAAATGATTGTAGTACCTTCCATAGCTTTTGAGATAACCAGTTTCAAATGTACAAAAATATGTTTTCTCGGCTATCGATGGTAGAGCTTTTTAAAAATACTCTTCATTTATGCTGTTATAGGCTTAGCTAATTTTTAATCTTTATCTTGCTTGTTGGTTATTCCACAATAATTTAATTTTCTACAATTTTTGTTTGGGTACTTTTTGTTAAAAAACGCATATTTTTCCTGATATTTGTAAAAATATATAAATAACCGTGATTTCAGAGATTTTTGAGCGCTAACTTTTTAAAGAAGCATTTTTCGACCCATGTTTATAGGAAACTTTTTGTTCAAAATAAAATTTCCTATAAAATTTTCAAAGCCTGGCCGGAACGTTTGGGCCCATCCTGTATATATATAGTACTGCCGCTTATAGTTAGCAAATGAAAGACTTAAAGGTGTGAATCTCTTTCTTTTAAATTATAAATTTTATTTCGTATATATGTATATATACACATATATGTATATATATGTTAGAGAAAAGGAGAATTATACCGATTCTCTTATCGATTCGTTAACTACTCCATGTTAATATCTAATATGAGATTGAAATATCGTATGACCAATAATAAGATCCGATTTCGCGCATTTAGTGTAATAGCGATTGTTTAACTTTCGCATAACGTTGACGTTAAAAGACATGTTTTATATATTTTCAGCGCTAACTGTGCGATAAGGACACGGTTCCAATTATTTGTTATTTATATTTATTCGATGGATTTGTAAATATATAAAGAATAATAATTGAATGTACGAAGTTGAGAGAAGTATGATACGAGAGCAAAAGTTATTACACAGAAGGGATTAAATCCAAGAATGATTAATTAGTTAATTAGGGGGAAATATTGTAACGGAATGGTGCGAGAGAGAGAGAGAGAGAAAGAGAGAGAGACAAGAGGACTTAGAGCTATATCATCGTTGAATCATCGCATCATGTGCCATATCATCGCATTATATATCAAAAAGAAAAAAACAGAGTTTAAATATTATTTAAATCTCGCGCGCGCATAATTAAATATACGGCCGTATACATATGCATATACGTATACATATATAGAGCGTGACGGAATCATGCGAGTGAAAATCCGGCATGTGTACAGCATTCGTTTGACTAACTGTGATTCGTTGCTGGTCTTTATTTGAGAGTAATATAACATTCTATATATAATATACATATATATATATATATATATCTATAATTTGCAGATGAAGAGACGAGAAGTGAATGAATAGAGACACACAATATACCTTTATCAGGAAAAAAATAATATACATATTTAATGAATATTACGAAATATTCATTGTGTATGATAGTAAAAATGTTTAATTCGATTTCACATCGGACCCTGAAACTGATTACAATCTCAAAACGGTATAAGTGTAACACAATATATGTACTTTCCTTATTTATTTGCTTCTGCGAATATATATCTTTCTTATTCATTTGCCTCTACATGTATGCAATTTCGCGATGCAAAGACAATTTTTGCCGCACCGGACGCTCGGACATCAACCAATACTACTATCTATTCGCGATCGAATTGTTCCAACTCTCAGTCGAGGATCTCGACATTTCCGATTCGGCGGAAGACAAGAGAAAAAAATCATTAACGCGAATCTGTTCATTCAATCGTCACCCTCATCGTCATGATAAACGAGCCACACTCACGTTATTACGTCGACATCGTACGAAGCGTTCGTTCGCAATTGTCCACAAACGGGAATGCCCTTTGTAATCTAATTTTTTCGCATGACAGTATACACACGCACATGTAAGATATTATCGCATCTCGATCGTATAATCACAGAATATATTGCACATACGACTGCACATATTATATACATATTTACAAGTGTGTATATACATTATATATACATATATATATATAATATATACATAATCATGTCCGTTACTGTCTCATCCACTCGATCGATTAAAATAATTTTGACGATTTCAAACATTTCGCTACAATTCCTCAATTTATTTCATTCCATCTATTTACTCTATTTCACATCATCTGAAACTCAGAGACAAATACAGTTTTTCACTCATATTTTTGCCATCCAAATAATTTTTTTTTTTGTATAATGTTCCCTATATCTTTTAATATTTTTATGTCTAGTCTCGACAGCTTCTTCTGAGAGCTATCTAATGGGAAGTATTGCTTCTTTTATTATATAAATGATCCATGAATTAAGATTTTATATATACAGTAAGCATACAATATTATGGGTAAAAATTAACAATATATTTTAGCCATTTCTCTTTGCAATATACATGAAAAGGTATTCATTTTTTAATTACTAGATAATGTTTTCAATATAATGTGCCGAAGCTAATAATGACCTTTTTTATCCACTTCTAAAATAAAAATATATATCTATAAAAACATAAAAATACTTAATTATCAATTTAACCAGTTAAATTAATTATATCAGTTAAACCAATGATTCTGTAGAATTAAAAAAAAAACATCTTACTATATTACCGTTATTTGTATTTCCATAATCAGGTTTTGAAATATACTACTAATTCTAATTGAAATCGGAATTTATTCTGTATCCAGTAGAATTTCGAAATATACGGGGCTTTGGTCTACTATAACGAGGTTACCTCCACTTCCGTCAAATTCAGGTCTGTATCGATCGCGCATAGTTTGCACGAATATCAATTGTTCCAGTATGGATCGTCAGTTATATGACTTAAGTTTTTTTCTTAGCTCGACATGGATAGAAATGTATTTATTGAAAAATATAAGTTGTTGCGAAATTCACGCAATTATTTTGGAAAATAAAAGTGAATCAAAGCATGTACAAAACAAACGCGCGCGTTCTGAATTATTTCATCGACTTATTTAATTTAAGTGAAGATGAAGATGGAAAAAATAACTCAGTTTATATAAGAATGCATTTTTTTAATATGTATTTTAATAAATGGAGAAATATAGCTTGCGTATTAATAAACGTTTCTTATGTCAAAATAAAACGTGGTTAAATCAAGAGATAAAATTTCCGCCTTGTGTATATCGAAATATTCCCTGTGCATTCAATAATATTCATAGTCGGCCAAAAGAAATTTGGTAAATGTAGTGAAAGGAATAAACGACAAAAAATTCAAATGCTTCAGGTAAGTAAAAGGACAGCGGAATTATATTATGCGGAATCTATGAATTTACATGCGGATGTCAACGAAGCAGCTGCCAAACTTATAAAAGAAGCTACTAACACTCATCCTACTCCTAGAACAAAACGGATATTAAATAAATCCACTCTTAAAAAATCCACTCTTAAAGAAGGTTAAATCGATATTTGCAAGTATTGTTGCTTCTTTTCAACGATGGTGATTGATTATCTTAATACTACGCTGTGCATTACTTCATAACAATAAAAAGCTGTCATGGCAAAACTCCTTCGAATTCGAAAGAATAAGATTAAAA